CGAGATTTGTGGACAGAAATTACATTACACAAGAGTGGTATGTTAATTTCATTTTTTTCCACCAGAACAGGGTTCATTATGTTACTTCCAACTGGTGACTCCTCTCTGAACAGAATGATATCCACTAAATACAAGGCACTCTTTCCCTCCAGAGGTTTCCCTTCATTCAACATCTGTACTCAACAGCAAGTCATCCACATATACATCTACAACTATAAAACTCTACTTGCTCACTCACCTAGAATAGAAAAAAAACCCCAAGAACTGTCACATCTTCACAAAGATCTCAACAAACAAAAGCTCACATGACAGAAGGGTGTTTTCATGGCAGTAATGCAAAGGTAACCCCGAGTTTACAAATCCTCTTAAAAGCTTAGAACAAACTCAGAAAAACAACTAATCTGTGATAAAAGGTGGGGTTTTTTTGTGATATGTTAATCTGACAAATAATCTGCATCTGACTGAATTTGAATGCTGGTAGCAAGACCACATTTCCCTTGATCTCCCAAGCCTGTTTTCATTGCACTCATTTGCATCAGCAAGACATGCTTTTGCTCTGCTCATTTCCCCCTCTCCAAGCTCTAGTGCAAGTTCAAAAGTCCTGGCCCCTCCAATGTATCAGGTATGAATTAATACCCTTCCTTAGCTGAACACAGCAGCAAAGTGGAAACAGACACTTGCAAGGCAGTCTGCTTTGAAAGGAACTGCAGGGACAAATGGTGACAATGAAGTTCTAGTTATAAAGTAAAAAGGTCAAAGGTTCAGACAGGCACAAGGATTACAAAACTACACGTTCGTCAGAGTTCCCCCCAGCCCAGGCTTAAACAACCAGGGTCAAGCAGTAGCTTTCCAATTAAAACCCTATAAGGATACTTTGTCCTTTGAACTTCATAGGGGAAAAAAAAGACAATTTTCTGATTTAGAAGTTGTTTTGAGGACCCATCTCGAAATCAAACAGATAAAGGGCATCCAACAACAGCTCACCTAAAGCAAACACTCACTAACCCTTGGCTGCCTGTGTGGGGGAAGTTGGGATGAGGTAATCATGTTCTCCTATATTAGTGTGCTGACCCTTTGTAGGGCATGAAATTAACCATCAGCAAGGAAAAAATCTGCTACTGCTTAAACTACTTTGCTACGCAAAGTGGTCTTAAAATGAAATATGGGGATTGAATTTCGTCTGGCAGATTAACTTGTCTAACCTCTCTGCAGGCATCCCTTCCTGCTGAACTCATTTGAGAAACTATTCCAGACCCTACTGGTGCACAGGTCTGTGACAAACAAATGTAAAAGCAACTCTTATTTTACTTCAATGACATTAACATCAGCTTTGTGGAAGATGAGGTGCCGAACATTAAGAAAAGCACAGAAGCTTAAAAAACCCCATAGTGCTGTGACAGAAACTACCCCATCTCAGTGTGAAATTTTACCAGAAATACCCCCTAAATCTCTACAGCAACAGAAGAATGCAGTAGTAACAAAAAAATTAGTCCTGCATCTTGAAGTCATTCCTTCAGTGCATAAACCAAAGTAGAAGGCTGATCTGGGTGCTTCTCACTGCTTGGCACAAGTCAGACACAAATGGCTGTCAATACTGGTTTTGTTGCCTTGCTTGATCCTGCTAAAGATCAAGGAAAAGATCCTGCTAAAGCAAAGGAAAAGTCTGAAATTGTACTTTAAAATAAAGAGTTCTGTTCTTATTATTTGAAAGAGTAAGACAGAAATATACAGCACAGTCCAAGCCATACAGCTACCCACAGTAACTTAATGCCTTCCTGCCACACACACACAAGAGCCTCAGAAGAATATAAACCAGTATGGTTTGAATACAAGTGAAAGGCATGATGAAGTACACCAAGTGACTATTACTTATTCCATTCCAACCTTGACTATCACCTTCCATCTAAAACTTAAAGAAAACATCTTGGATGAAACTGTCTGCAACATTTCTCATTCCCAGCATGCAGGTAAAAAACCCCAAAAACACAAAAAAACCCACCCAAAACAAAACACTTTTGATTTAACATTTGATATGTTTTGTTTTCAAGGACAAGCTCTGCAAGAAAAATGTAGCCACAGAGAATGAAATACGACTTCTATTTTTCATTCCAATTGGTTACTGCTCAAATATTCTGCATTCATTTAATCCTAAAGTATTGTGTCTGAACAAGTATCTTGTGAGTGACTGTGAGAAGCACTCACAAGGTCAAGCACTACCTAGCACAGCATGACAAAAATGCAATACTAGATTCTGACATGAAAAAAATCCACTTCAGGAATTAGCTACATATAGAAATATGTTAAAGAGTGGTAAATAGTAACATTTAACCTGTGAGCTCATTTATCAGCTTTGTACAGCAAAGGAATTAACTCTTAGAGCACTCTGGGAGCAGAGATGACAGTTACACAAGAGAGATAACCTGGGATACCACTGGTGAAAATGGCACTTTGGAAGAAAAGAGCCAAAAAGTGACACCTCAGAAGGAAACCCTTGTGCTCCTCACCTCATGGGAGACCTGAGTGAACCATGCTGGTGCTACCCTGCCACAGCAGACAGTGTTTCCATGAGCTGGGAGCTCTCAAGGGAAGCCAACTAGCTTATCCCACCGTCAGTGAAAACAGAGAACTGCAAACAAGAAGATGCAGTAACATTTTCTCCTGCAAACCCTGCATGCACACGACTAACAGAGTTCTGAAGCAGCCCTCTCATCTCTGCTGCCACTCCACCTTCCAAATCCTCACATCCAGCTCCCTTGCCCACAGGCATTCCAGTTTTTCTGCAGGTCAACTTCCACCCCAGGATTTCAACTCAGAACAGCGATATTTTAAAGAGGTATGGGAAATCTGAGGTGCAGAATAAACACCAGATAAAGTACTTTGCATGTATGTCTTATTGAAAAACCATATATAGAGAAAACGTGTAGTAACAGGGAAATCACAGATTCCATCAAAAAGAAAAGGGCAGTGGCATTCCTGGTTGCAGAGAAAATGTTAGGAATGGTGAACCCTTAATGCTTAGTAATGAGGAAGTAGATGAAAATAACCTAAATTTTTCAATACCATTGTCTGGGAGGACTCACTTTCCATTCCTAAAGTGATGAAAAAGTTGGCATTACTGAAACACACATGAACACCAAAGAATGTATCCTGTTACAGAGGCCATGCTACACTTCAGTTTGAGTTTCACCAAACCACACCAAACCTGTAAGCACCTGAACAGTGCTACACTTCAGTTTGAGTTTCACCAAACCTGGAAGCACCTAAATAGCCCCACAGGCACAGATCAGGTTTTATCATCAAGGTTTCACCTTTCAAACCTGGTAGTAAAAAAAGGCAAAAAAAGCATCCACTATGGAGATACATCTATTATCAAGCAGAAAACTGAAGCTCCTAATTCTTCAAACTATTAACACAATACTGCATTTTCCCTACAACCCTTTCTTAACACACAGAATTGCAGTAAATCACACTAATCAACTATTTTACTGAAGTAGAATACATAATGTGGTATAACTGGAACTAAGCAAGTTTGATGTGCTTATGTGTCTGAATTACCACCTGTAAAAATTATTTTTGTTGTGAAGAAAACTGTCATCATCTCATCCCATCCATGCCTTCCTTCTCCCTGCACAGCCTACCAATAAGCAAATCTGAATAACTCATTCAGCTGTGACTGAATACTTTGAAAAGCTTCATAAAAATAGCAGAAAGCAATGAGAAGTCTACCCCAAATAAGCATTAAAGTTACTGAAAAACAAAACTGGTTAAAGCTGATTTCTAAGTTTTCCCACGTCCCCTTCATGAGAAAGTTCACACCACTCCGATTAGTTGCTGCTGGCAGAAAGGAATGTCTGACTACAAGTGACTCTTCAGTACACCCAAGAAACATCTGCCAAAGTCAACTTTGCTCTTTAGAAGATAATCAGGTGCTTACAATTACTAAAGAATAATAAGGGCTTGCCAAGTACAAGAGAAGAGTACAAGACCGAAGGTTTCTGGAATTAAGCACACGGCCACTCCTCCCCTGCAGAAACATTGCTGAAACAGAGCGTTTAACTGCTGCTGAAACTGATAAATAAGTAAATATTTACTATCTTCCCACAAGAAATGCAAACAATACAACACCGTTAGCACTAACGCAACTTACAAACAGCACAATTGTTCAAAAATGGGTCAAATTCCCATGTAGTGACAAATAACTCAGCCTGGACCTCAGTCTAGCCAAGAAACGTTGTCCTACAAAACAACCACCAAGCTGTTATGAAAGAGACCCTGGCAGAGGAACTGAACTTGCAGGCGGATCCCCGCAGTTAAACCTGTGACTGTTTAAAACTCCTGCAGCTGCGACTCCATCCTCTCCTCAGCCAAGCACCGACCACCTGCCAACACTCCAGAGATGAAAGACAGAAAGGTGAGCTAATTTGAGTCCTAATGCAAATCAAATTAACCTTCTGACATCATCTATGGAGACTAAAATGAAGAGTTACCAAAATCTACTTCTACGTCTAAAATTATCATGTTACAACTCTGCAGTCCTCCAAGACAACACGGGCATGTCCAGCAACGACATCACAGCTCTCAGCTACAGACAACATCAAACTCTGACAGCTTAAACAGGCAAGAAAACAGCAATTTATAGGGCTGTTCGATGCCGTTAATAAGCCTCCATACACAACAAATACAACTTTTTGTCTGCTAAGTGTAAGAAAGCTGAGCACACCGGCCATCCAAGCAGCACTCCAAGAAATCACATGTACAAAGTGCTTTCCTATGAGCACAGGTTTTTTTATTAGAAGAGCAACTACGAGCAAGCGCAGCAAAGTCACAGGTCCGTGAGAAACCTGTCTCGCCCCGTCCCGGGTTTGGGCACGGCCGGAGACCCCGGCTGGCTCCCCGCGGCCCCGCTCCCTCCACGGCCACGGGCGGGCGCAGCCCCACGGGGCCCGGAGCACCCCGGGAGGCACGGCAGCCGCCGGGGCGGCCCCCCTGGCCCCCCTTACCGCCGATGATGGTGCGGATGAGGGAGGCGTGCCCCGGGCAGTCCACCAGCGTGAGCTGCAGCTCGCCGGGCCCCGGGCCGAGCTGCGGCGGCAGCGCGGTGCGCAGGCAGGAGAAGCCCAGGTCCAGCGTGATGCCCCGCGCGCGGCTCTGCGGCGCCCGGTCGAAGGCGGCGGTGGAGCCGGTGGTGCTGAGCGCCCGCGCCAGCGCCGTCTTGCCGCTGTCGATGTGGCCCAGCACTCCCACGTTCACGTTCAGAACGCGGGCGGCCATGGCGGCGCTGCTCCCGCCCGGTCCGTCCCTACAGCGCCCCTGCGGCAACGCGGGCCCCGCCGCCGCCGTTCCGCCCGTGCGGCGGGCAGGGCTGCTCGGAGCCGGCGCGGTTCGTCCGCTCCGCGGCCGGGGATGAGCAGCAGCGGCCCGGCACACTGCCAGCTCACCTCTCTGCCCCTCGCAGGCACCCCCTGCACGGAGAGGCCATTGCAGCGGGTTACCTCAGGGCCCGTCAGCTGCGCGCCCGGCCTGAGGGAGGCTGGCAGCCGGCGGCCCTGGGAGGGGGCATGGGATTTACCCTGAGCATCCGCACCTTCGCCCACGCTAATCGAACACTTCAGGGCTGCTTAAACACGCTGCCACATCACCCCCTCCATTCTGTCCCCGAGCGAACCCCCGTGCTGCTGGAACTGTGGTGACCACGTTTGATTTCCAAGTCACATTGCAAACCCGCGTGAAGAAGCAGGACACGTTTGGATCATTTATTCTCTCTATACTTAATAAATTCGAGGCTTGCATAATTTTCCTGTAAAGGGATATTTAAGTTAGGTAAAATTCTGCTTTAAAAGTCATATCCTTAATGAATTAAGAATCCAAGTTTATTAACAGTGAAGAACAGATCTGGTAACCACCGCCACCAAAACAGACCCAAGATGAACATTGGAGAAGGCTGAGGGCATTTCCGAGGCTAAGGGCGCGATTCCTTCCCTGATTTAAGTCACTTTGCTTTACAGATTACCAGGGAGATAAATGCTCTGCAGGATAAAGCTTAACACGTGTGCTTTTCAACAGTGACCAAGGAGCCCAAAGTACCTCTTCAAATGATTACAGCTCTTTACAAGCCAAGAAACCAAGACTGTGTTATAAACTTCCCAGAGGTGTCAAAGTAGACTAGACTTGTTCTATATTCTACTTTTTTTTTTCTTTGAGAGCAGTGCAGTTGCTTTTCTGCTCACTCCATGCAGCAATGCATATTGCTCACAGTAATAACATTCACATTTTAATAACTAATGAATGAGCCAGGAGTGTAAAATGATTTGCCTAAGGCTGCTGCCAACATCATGGATTTGGTTTTTAGGCTTTGACTCCAAACTCCAAGCTTTTCCTACAAAGAAATTCAGTTTATATCGACACTTTCAATATGAAAGAGTTTGGTTCAAAGCTGGGTGCAAATTACTCCTCCTTCCCAAACACATGGAAGTCGAGATGACAGAATCAATGACTCAAATGAAAAAAGGGTGCATTTCTTCCTAGTACTCAGTGCTATTTGAGAGACAACTGTCTCCCTGAAGGAAAGCCATGAACTCACAAGGAATACTGAGCTAGCCTAGCTAATCAACTTCTCAAGCAGAATAGTTCAGCCTGATGGAATCTCTGTCATGGGAGCCAAATTAAGCATAATGTCACTTTTCAGACCAAGTTCCCAGGCTTTGAATAGTTTCCTGTTAAATCATTAGGCTCATATACACTTCCTTGTGCTGAATCTGTTACATCAATATGCAGTTGCAAAGGGAAGGGAAAGTTTACATCAATTCCCATAAGGCCCTAAAAAGTTAGAACCCACACAGATATCCCTGTATCATATAATCTACCCTTTAATTCTTTCTTTTAGCATTATTAGATGAGTTCAGAAGGAAGAGGTGGGGAAAAGTCTGATTCTCAACCAGAAAAGGTAGTAAGTATCCAGAAGTCCTCCCAGAACATCTAAAAACCAGCTGTTTTTCAACAAGCAATGACATTGTAAAAAGGTCTAAAACTAGAGTTTTAGTCTACAACAAAAGTCTACAACTCTTGAGAAAGCTGGCAATGAGGTCAAGGAGGCCCAATTTCAATGATCACAGTGTAAGAGGCCACAGCAGGGCTCACCTGAGATCCATTTTGGTCTGCCAGCTTAACAAAGAGATGCATTTTGCTCAGCCAGAATTTAGAGGGATACTGGACAGAACTTATGGGATGAAAAAATTATAATTCTTTCTGTTAAGGATAGCTAAGGAAGGAAGATAAAAATCCTCCAGAGAATGGATTTCATTCCACTCCTCACATAACAATATTGGCCCTTCTTTTACTCCTGAGTGACCTTCAAGAAGGAGGAGTAGAAATGGAGGTTTAATTTTATCCCTTTAGACACAGAATAGATTTACAACTTTCTCGATAGGGAAGCAGTTACTCTTCTGTAGAGGGAAGAAAAAAACCTCAGTGCCTACACCTTTGTTGTTACCACTGAGATCACACCTCTGTCTCCAGGGTTTTAAAGCCTGTGGATCTGATTTTGCCACACATCACTTGAGGAATTATTAGAATGCACATTGTACGTGTGAAATTAATAAATTTAATCACCGATGTCAAAGAAGAAATATGATAAAGACTGACATAAGCACTTTTATTCAGCATTTAGAAAGGTCCATTCTGTTAGCTTACAAAGTTTTAAAATTAATTACAAATTTGGAAATTAAGGTGTGGCATTCGGTAGGACACATCACTCCTATTCCTTTGAAGAGTAGAAAAATAATCAGCTTCTTTTGCAGGGAACAGAACAAGACATGGCCACTATCCCCACCACTCCCCACCCCTACAAGAAGGTCTTGGTATTACTAAGAGGGAGAGGGGAACCTGGCAAAATGAGAGAATCCCAGATTTTTCTATATCCCTTCCAAAATTTGTACCATTTAGCTGTTTTCCTTGTTTTCCCATAAATAAACCATTCTCCATCCCAGTTATTCTCTCCTGTATGGAATTTCTTCCTTAAAACATGTTCACTTTAATGCTAAAGTTTATGGACTCATGGGAGAAAGGGCAGGAAGTCAGACTTTTGGGATAGGGTAAAAATGTAAAGGTCATTCACACACACACACACACACATACTCTCTCTCACTCCAAAAATAATACACTATTTGACAGTTTCAGGATTCAGCATGTCCCACTGAAATTTGAAAGCTTATGTGAAACTAGCCTACGTCCTGTAACCTCAAACATTTAGTCTAGGAAAACAGCTCTCGAGTCTCCAGCTCCCAGCTCGGGTATCGCATGACATCTGTGCCAAACAGAAGACCTCAAACCAGGGGGCAAAAGAAACCTTGGTAAAATGAGTGGGTTAAACCTGGGGAATAACAGTTCAGAGTGTCAGTGATATTTTTTCTGGTTAGCTGGTTAGTGAAATATTAAATTATACTCAAAGCATCCGTAGAACGAGCTGGGCAGGATGGTTGTACAACCGGCCTATGTTCCATCTGGTGGCTTGGACAAAGGAGGAAGAAGACTCATGCTTTGCAATTGAATTATTTTATCCTCCCTCTCTAATACAGTACCTAGTTTAAAAAATCACAGAAAATAATGTAAAAGTTGAGGTTTTATATTTCCTTGTACTGATGTATCACAACACAAGCCACCAGCTATAAAAGATGATATACAATGATGATATACAGTAGTTCCACTTGTACTCTGCTCTTCCTGGGGAATAAACAATTAATCCTGTGTGGTCTAAAGGATTATTGTTTATTTTTCCTCATCTGAATGTCCTCTTTTTCCCCTCTTTAACTGCAGCTTTAGGACAACGCTCAAAGAGCATACGAGTAAGTAAGACAATCAATACAATGAGCAATGGCAAACTTGGCACAGTTAAGTAATACCTGTGAGCAAGTAAGAGGGAGAAGCCAGCCTTGCATTTATCCAGCAAACTGTTTTTTACTTTTATTTCTATTGAGGTATCCTCTTCTACTACAAACACAAACCCAAATAATTTTAATCACATTTTCTGCAGGTCAATATTCAAATTGTACTTTCATTGTGGCAGCAGATTTTATTTACTGAACAGCAATGGTCACTAGCAGACAGAAGTTTTAGGCTCTAAATTCTGGTTTGAGACATCTTATTGCTGTAGACAAACAATTAACATTCTCTCTTATCCACTTTAAGCAGGAAAAATCTCTAATTAGTATTTCCAAAGTTAAAGAATCTTATGTAGCATATCTGATTTTTATAGACAAAGAATATTTCTATCCTTCCTCCAAGTCACAGTGAAGATTAACAGCAATTCTCTATTCCTGCCATCTACATTCCTGTATATTAAATTTCACCAAAAATAAATAAGCAAATATTATTAAATAGACTTTGAAATGCCATAATCTCAAATGCAGGTCTTGTTGCAACATCAAACAAGATAACATGGACCATATGGACAAGTTTCAGTCTAAGTTAACAAATTATTATGTATTTCACCCTTTTGAGAAGGAGGGTCATACCTAGCCTGAACCCCTTGATAGCAACACCACTGCCTTCAGAGCCCTTACCAGACTTGCTAATTATTCTTCCAGAACTGGCAGAAACTTGAACTCTGACCAGACTTACCCACAGCACTTGCGGCAGTTTAATGCACTGGAGAAATCAAAGTTGTATATTTGGTCTTTTACAAAGGAAAAAGTCTGCAGCTCACTACCATTAGGTGTTTGTATTCTGCGACTAATATATCCCTGAGAGGGTGTAGAGAGCCTAATGACATACACACTTTTCTAATTATTTAAAGACTAGCTCATATTCGTTAGTCAAAAATTCTTAGCTGCACAGTTGGATAGCAGGATACCCTTACAAAGGTGCTGAACCACACATGTGTGCAATTATATTGTAATTACAAATTTAAACTAGAGTATGTAAATATAAACTGACAGAACAATTAACAGAAAATGCAAGCAACAATAAGCAAAGTCTTTTCTTTGCCAAATTACATTTATAACAAAACTAATGGAAGCTCTTGAACAAAGAGGGAATGAATAGCATGCATATGGTTCACTGGGCTTTTGCAAATAGAACCATAACTCCCATCCTCCCTAAAACAGCTCTCTGAGTTTGTGCTGTCACAGGACTGCTTTTGCAACCCCCCTGGCAGTGCACAGGAAAGCCAGGATGGCACCAGACAGCAGTGCTGCCTCAAACCACATTAATCCACTGGCTTTAAACACTGCAGACACAAACACGGCTTTATAATCACAGAAAACTCTCTCTAGCTATGGGAAGAGTCCTGTCTTTCAATGAGCAACACCGAGCAGGTGTTTTTACTTTTATTTCTATTGAGGTGTCCTTTTCTAGTATAATCACAAACCCAAATAATTTTAATCACGTT